GAATTGATTTTTCAATACAGCCCCCCCCCCCTCCCCCCTCTAAAATCAATTCTCTCCTGGAGAACGTCTTCGTGAGCCTCTCATGATTTCAGGATAGTTGAAACCCTCTTGAACATTCAGAAAGAGTGAATATGAAATTCTAATCACGAAAGGTGTTCCCCGAGGGGATACATACCTAGAGTTTGTTTTGTGAAGCACGTCAATTCTCTCCTGGGGAGCGTCTTCGTGAGCCTCTTATGGTTTCAGGATAGTTCAAATCCTATGATGTTCCGATTCAATGCTCACCGATGATCTGAGCCATGGGGCAAGTTTGTTTTCCTAAGAATCTTTTTGAACATTTCGAGAGCATATGTTTGAACATTTAGAGTGCATATGAACATATATTTACGAAAGGTCGCCTCCGAGGGGATAAATCACCATGTCGAACATTGCATTTTTGTTCCTGCCTCTCGCGTTCTCTTCTCTTCCCGCTGTCCTACCTTTCGTGTCTCCCTCCTCTCAAGTGTTTAGTACCTCCAAGCGACATGTGCATCTTCGTGCATGCGGGGTGGGTGGAGATGTTTTCGTTTGGGGCATGCGGCATGGCCCACGGTAAGAACGACGTTTTTCAAACTAAGATTTTTGAGGAGTCAGAATCGACCCGCTTTGCGCCCTTGGATCAAGATCCTCAGATCCTTTTTCGAGGGCTTTTCAGGCCATGTAGACTCTTTGATGGTTATACATTATAAAACTCTCCATATGAAAAGACCATCGAAATATGGAGATCTATCAAATAGTCGAAGAGCCGAGTGTCTTCCATCGAAATGGGGAGATCTCTTCATCGACCGTCAACCATGACCAGTTTCTTCGGAGAACTCTTCACCGCGTCTTCGCTCGTCCAAGGCGGCAAGCGCCTGCGGCCGGTGCTCACGCTCCTGACGGCGCGGGCCACGGGTGCCTCGGAGGCGGGGGCCGTCGGTCTGAGACGCGGTGAAGTGATCAGAAAAGACGGCAGAAGTGATCAGACATATGTAGGAATGGCCCCAAACTCTTCGTTTCTATATATTTTTCGAGTCTTCAACCTGCTCAGCCGAAGCCGGTTTGGGGCACTTTGACCCAGGCGGCCATGGCGGATGTCGTCTCACTAGCGGCAGCCGTTGAGGTCCTCCATAGCGCCAGCCTGGTGCATGACTGGGTGGGTGGAGAGATTAGCCTTGGGAATGCGCATCGCGAAGTGGGTAGGTTGACGGAATGGGAGAGCTGGTCTCTCATGAGCCACTGGAAATTTCAATACGATGGATGGCGATGGAAGATGTAATTTAGAACCCATTGATGGCTGTGTGCATCTTGAGAACACCAAGAGCCCTCAAACTCCAAAGTACCTTGCCCCCCCAAAACAATCAACATATCGTATATCACGGCACGTCCCAAGGTCTTCTTCTTGTTAGATTCCTGGTTTTGTTTAGGGTTTCTGGTTGATTTTCCCCTAGTGAATCTCCAAACCTGGGGCGAAAAACATGGTTTCCAAACGCTTTCCCGGTTTCTTCTCGCCCATCCCGCCCACTCACCAGGATGACATCCTCGACGAGGCGGACACCCGTCGCGGCGAGGAGGCGGCGCACGTGCGCCTGGGCGAGCGCGCCGCAGCGCTGGTGGGCGACTTCCTGTGGCTCGGCCACAAGAAAGCAGCGTATGATATGAGGGGCGGATGGGGGTGTTTCATGGGTGGATGAGAGATGAAATCCAAGATGGATATGATAGTAGGAATTTGATCGATCAATATGTAGCGGTGATGTTCATTTCTCTCTCTCTCTCTCTCTTTTTTTTTTTTTAATATTTATATATATATATAGTCATCTAGTGGTGTTCAGCACGGGCTGTTCCTGTTTGTGGGTGGAGGCCATAAGCATGTCGTGGCCATGGTCTCTTTCAGCAGATCGCTGGTCTTCAGATGACCAGTGTCGCTGTTTGTGTCGCACCCGTTTTTTTCTAGTTAGAGAATGGGTTTATCCATGTTAATCCAGGTTCACCTTGAAATTCTAAGGGGAAAATTTGTGTATGTTTTTCTCCTCGGAGGTTTGCGTAGGACATCGTAGGATGAGTGTAGTTTCACTTTAGGTGAGCATCCTGTTGAACTCTTAGACTGCTTAGCAACAGCTAACCAACCGTTGACCACAGCAAGAAACCGTTTGCCCTGACTTGTTTTTAAAGCTGGAAGGTCATGTGCTGAGTGCCTGGCCGTGCAGCAGTAGCAAGATATGACAACAGACAAAGAACAGACAATCATTGTGAGACATGTACTAAACTTTACTTAACCACGACTTAAAGTATATATACTTACACTCCCGAAGACTAGCATGGACCTGGGCCGAAAGACACCCACCCTCTTTCAGACGATTTTCCTCTACAAACCTGTCCACGCTTTCGTCGACACCACGGAGACGCCAGACCCGGCGGACCGGTCCGCCACGTGGCGGAGCGGAGCGGACCGGACGCTGCGCCAGCCGAGGTTTGCCACTGCTTCCGTGCTGGTGGCGGAGATCGGTGACTTGGACCGAGTTTGAAGGAACGGAGGTCGATGCACATACCCTGAAGGTATAGCTTCAGGGTCACAACTTGGAGTCTTCAAGGTATAGCTATATTTTTTTTTGTAGTGACACTGTAGTGATGTGTGTTAGCACTTTTGGAATGAATATGGTAATCATCAGTGACCTAAGATTGCCACCACCATTGGTTTATTTCCGAACAGCCGCCGTTCTATTGAGGATTTTACACAACAAAACGAGGTCAACATTTCTTTGAAATGTGTTTGAAGACTAGGGTTTGGATTGCACCTTTGGAACTCTGTTGGATTGGATGCACTCCCTGAAATAATTATGGGAGTGGACAACCACCTGGACCTGTTTGTAGAATAAGAGTGTGTTTTAAGGGAAAAGTGTCCCATTTCCATTATTATTTCACATCAACGACGCCTGATGCTGTCTTGCGCACGTTTTGGACAGGGAGCCTTCCAACGGTGCTGCTCATCTCCAAGGTGGCTTGGCCAAGTGTGGTGCAAAGAGCCCACAATTGGTTTATCTAGTCTTGAAAAACGGGACAACCTATACTAGGAGACCCATAGTTGTGGGACTGAAAAGCCTTGGTTTCCCGCAGATTCTCCCTTAAACCATCTTAAACCATTTCTTCTGGGACCAGAGAACTCAGTTGCTTCTTCCGGTGCCACCGGGTTCGCGGGTTCCCGGCTTCGCACCGGTGGTCGAGTCGAGAACACAGTGGAAGTGCTCAGGTTCGGCCGAACCACGGCTGTTCACCAATTGGCTGGAGATTGCTGGATGGTTGCATATGCCTAGGCCTGTCAAACCTGATTGACCCCTGTTTTGGAGCCATATCCCATGGTCTTTTCCTGTCAAAAGAGAGGTCACATGGGGGTCAATGGGGTGACCGGTGGTGACTCTACCTGGATGGGCCGTTCGAATGGTCGGTCCAAACACCAGGAATTCTCGCTGGTCACTGGACAACGAGTCCCAGACACTGTGTGAAAGTTGAGACCCCCAGACCACGATGGTGACGAGTGCGAGAAAGCTGTGCCCCACCATGAAAGTGAACCCAAAGGATTATGATAAGGAAGATACACTCCAAAGGAATTTGGGGGTCACATCATTCTCCCTCGATCCCTTTGAGGGTCCAGGGTCGCGTTTGGGTACAGAAACCGGTCGATATCGGATGCAGTCGCTTCGAGAAGGTTCAATTTTTGTAGGATCCCATCTTCTGACATGTGGCACGCTTTCGGCTTACAATGGTTTCAGAGCAGATGGCGCACCCAGTTAGGTGGTTTCTATAGACCCCCCAATATATAAAAGACATTTTTGGGTGCCAGTGCCATCTAACTCTGAACCCACCTGGTGCTCACCTGGCGCCACCCCAGCCACCCTGGAAGCTGGTACCCAAGGCCTCGTTTCGCTACCCCCAGCGACCCCCCTCGCGATGTCTCAGGTCGTCGCCGACTTTGGACGTGGGGAGCTGGCACAGTCGGCCGTGCGCTTCGAAGCAGTCGACTACTCGCTCGAGGCGCCGGGGGTGAGAGGGTCACCCCTTGGGGCGGAAGGGTTCTTCAGTACGCGATGGGAGGGACCAACAAAGGCATTGCCCGTGGAGCAGTCCAAGGATTCTTAGGGCGATTTGGCACCGCCAGGACTATTTGGCCAAGTCTTTCTACAAGACAGCTTCCCTCCTGGCGGCTGCCTGCCATGCCGCCGCGGTGCTCAGCCGCCCCCAGAGCTCTCCCGATGCCCAGGAATGCTTCTCGGCGGAAGTGAACACCCAGACGTAGGTTCCCTAGGTTCATTTAGGTTCCCTAGTTGTTCGGTTGTTCAGAATACTTCAAGGTGGGAAATGAACGAAAGGTCACATATATAGGGAGCAGTCTTCCAGAGTGGGTCGAAGTAGGAGCCGGATGGCTGGAACCAAAACAGCTAGCAGCAGCTGTGGCCAACTGAAGGAAAGGAACCTGAGGCTGCTTGTATCACTTCACCTCAGTGACTTTGATAAAATGACAGATCCAATCAGTGACCTAAGTATATCAAAAGGCTTGGTGGAAGAACAGGGCAGAACTGTAGTGATGTGCGGGTCTTTGAGTCTTTGGGAGCACAACTGACCCCCCCCCCCCGGGTCCGCTTCAACGGCAGTCCCAGAAGTCCACGTGTGGCGTGTGGCGTGTCGAGCCGCAGCGAAAGCCTCCAGCGCCAAGCTAAGTGGATGACTTCTTTCCATCGTTTCCCCCATTCCTTAAGGACAATCCCTATGTTATTTTCTCCGATGTTCATAGATCTGTGGCCCTCTTGAACCATGAGCTAGATTGAGCTCCTGGAGTTTAAGAAGACTGAAACAACTTCTCCAACAGCACGGTTTTTTTTCATAGTTTTTCGATCATGACAAAGCCGGCCTCGCACCAAGGTCAGAATTGCTATCGCTTTGGGGCCTACGTGGGTTTGGCCTTCCAGGCCTAGCACATGGACTTTCTGGGGGCACACCTATAGTGACCTCAAGATGTCCTCTAGATGGGGATCAATATCAACACTTTAGGAGGGATTGTCCAATCTCCTGTCCATCCACTATATGAAGAAGTTCAGAACTTCAGCCTCAAAGATGAACTGGAACTCTGCCAGCTTGGAGCTGGGCTGGTGGCCTGACTGCTGGTCCTGTGCTACCTTATGCACCCCTGACCATGTCGTCAAAACATATATATATATATATTATATAGTGTATGTATATAATATATGTATATATTGTATATTATAAATAACATGCCTTCAGAGGACTTGCCACAACGATTGGGTTTCGTAACATTCTTGAAGTCATAGACTGTCCCATTGTGATGCTCGTTTTCGGCATTCAGTGTGGCAGACGGCAGGTGGTGGATGATATCCTGGACTTTGTCGCGACGGAAGAGGCCAATCGAAAAGGAAAACACTCAGTCCATTCCAGTCCACCCACTAAGATCAACCATCATTCATGCAAGCATATGCTTTGGTTGTGCGGAAGACTGCTCTATGGATGGAGAGGTGTTCCTTCGAACCCATGAGCACCAGTCCACCCAGGTGAACGTTACAGACCTCTTCGGGACCATAGAACTGGGTGCATTGGAATTGCACAGAATGAGTCTCACGGTGAGTCTCATTTGATCAAGACTACTCATAAGCGAAGACCCTATAGACCCTACAGGAAGTAGAAGATGGTACTCATCATGGCTATATTCTTCATCAACCTCATCCTCATCCATGGTGGTGTAGGCATAGGGACCGCCCAACATTTGAGAGCAGTGATTGGATGCTCTTGCATTGCTCTTGCAGGCATGAGGCACCCAGGCCCAGACCATCGCACCCAGACGCCGACTGGCCCCGCATGAGCTTGGTCCGCAGGAGCTCGGTAAACCCGCTTTAGCAGACCTCAAGGACCGGATCGTCCCTCGATCGCGCGCTCGGCTCGGCTCGAGCGAGCTTCGTTTTTTGGTGTCCGAGCCTGGCGCAGCAAGTTCCCCATAGACCAGGAAAGCCAAAGAATCACAAGAATGGTGTGAAAGTGTATGAGAGTGTTCCGAGAAAAACCCGGATGCGATTGAGTGTTTTCCAGGGGTGAAGCGTGCTGAAAAGCTCTGGGAGGGGCCCCAAAGCGAGTGATTGGAAGATCATTCAGCGGGCCGATGTTCACCTTCCGAATTCAGGGAGTGTTGTACCGGCTCAAGCGAAGGAATAAGCCCCGCCCAATATGCAGATGTAAAGCCGTTCGCTAATTAGGGGGAGTCTATTGATCAACGGTCTACAATTAATTGTGGCCAGTGCCTTTAACACAGCCGCCTTGATTCCACCTATGGGCTCATTCGTGCACGGATGGAACGTGGTGAATGGCATGTTTGGTTGATGTACTTGGACATCAAGAGCACATGAAAAATATCAACAGTCCACATTGCTCTAGATAGTGGCATTTGCAGATGAAATACAATCACCTTCAGGCGTCCTGTGTTCTGAGACAAGCCACGGCACACCCCATGTTTGAATTTATCCCATGGCGTGGTCGAGGAGGTGTTTCCCATATTAGCATTGTTTCGACTGAACCACACCTGTTTTTTTGGATGCTTTTGTTGTTTCCATGGAGACGCGCGAGGCATAGTTTTGTTGTTGTTGTTGTTTTTGTTGTTGTTGCTGTTGCTGGTGCTGCTGCTGCTGCCGCTGCTGCTGTTGCTGTTGTTATTGTTGTTGTTTGTCGTCGTCGTCGTCGTCGTCGACGACGACGATGATGTTGATGTTGTTGATGTTGTTGTTGTTGTTCCCAATCTTAAATTCTGAAATAAGTTTACCACTGCTCACGTGTTCCGGCCACAGATCAGCAGCATGCTGGCCAGCATTCGGGTAAGAGACCGATGCTGATGGATGATGGATGGCAAACTTGATGCAACCAGCAGGACAACATGTCAATCCCTCAGATTGAAAGGAGTTTCCTTTTTCCATCTTTTTCCTTCAAGTTTCATGTTGCATAATTCACTTGGAACGCTGATGAACTCGAGTGTGATTTGCCATGATCTTGTCAGGAGGGCAACTTAGGCGCTCCAGTACTTTTCGCTGCCCAAGAGGGTGCTTTGCCCCCGGCACATCGGCAAGAGTTGCTCGAGGCAGGGGACGTTTATGAGGTACGCAAAGCACTATGGGAGAATGACTCACCAATCAACTTGGTAACATCACTGTTGATGCCTCATGTTCAGTGCTACAACCCCCGAAGTTAGACCAGTTAGAACCTGGTCCCCTCGGCCGGGCGTCTTCAGGCCATCGAACGGCGCTTAACGAAGCCCGGCGACTTGGACCTGGTGCGACGTCTGGTGGAGGAGGGCAACTTGGTTTTGCTTCATTAAAGGGGGCCGTTTATATGTTTTTTATATGTTATTATTTGTATGTTAGAATTTTCTAAGGTGATGTCACTGCTGTCTCTATGTTCTATTGATGTTTATTTTATGTTTTTTGTTCATCCTCCTTCCATCTCTTTGCATCCCCTGAAGCAGGGGGAAGATCTGTAAAAACGAAAAAACGTCTCCATCCGTCCCGCCCCTTCGCACCAGGCAAAGGCGTCGAGAAGTCCAAGGCCGAAGCTACGATCGTGACACGGACCGATCGGCAGAGCGACGACACGCGGCGGGGCGTGGCTGGCCGGGCAGCCGCGAGGGTGACGGAGAGACCCGTGGCCAAGCAGGAGGGTGACTCCTCATGAGGTTTCGTGACTCATCGGTGGACCCCAAGTCCGCAGCGAACGTGTCCCATCCAAAAAGAGGTTGCCTAGAGAAAGGTGTAGAGCGTAGTGAAGGAGTAGCATGGAACCTGATCGTGTTTGAGTGGTTCTTGACTCAATTGTTAGTTTTTTTTGTGTCCATGTTCAATTTTGTACAAGCACTTGAGACTCACGTCAAGAGTCTACGAGTCTCCGCAGCACAACTAGTTGTTGGCTTGAATCCAATGTTCAGGTGGACAGGTAGGGCCTTTGGTTAGACGAGCGATTGATGCATCGTGTGCTTCTGGACTTTCAAGACGCCGGCGTCTAGCACCCAAAGGCGCTCAGGCGCACAACCGAAGGGCCTAAGAGTCCAAAGGTATCTAAAGGACTCGCCCCCTACCCCTATGGTGGTGGTGAATTATGATTCCCAGAGTGGCTACAATGAATCACTAGAAGCTTTGAGAAAGAGGAACCTCAGAGGGAACAGGGAACATCAGAACTTGCCAGGTCGTTGCTGGTGGGAAATGGGCTCAGGTTGGGAGACCTCGATTTGGACCACCATATGCCATCTCAGAATCACCCAACCCCCAGCCCATCTGGAGTTGGAGCCCCACACCTCACCAAGAACATCAGCCTCCCGTTGCCTTCGTCGCACACTGTCTCGCCACTTGGCCAGGCGCTGGCGCGACGCTTCGTCGACTTGGCCGCCCTGGAACTGGACAAGTGGCTCGAGCCGGGTGGGTTGTTGGGGCGATCGGCGATCGTAGCCAGAGGCCGAGTACTCCTGGAGTCCGGGCGATGGAGAGAGAGAGAGATCTGCAGATCGAGTTTCTGGAGAGCATGGATTTTGGATGATTGGGCCAGTTTCTGGAAATGGTCCCCTCTAGGAGGTTGGAATCGAACATGTTGATGGTGTAGATTCAGCTGGTCACGGTGAGTTGTTACACCAAAGCGTTGGACTGGAGGGTTCGTAGAGTGAAAGGCTTGCAGCCAGTGACTCGCAGTGCTTTTTCTCCCGACATGGAACAACTTCAGTGCCTCATCACCTTCTGATGGCTTGAGGCTCTAGAGGACTCTCTGGGTGCAACGCGCGCGCCAGCTCAGCGAAGACACTAGCGAAGACTGCACGCCGCGAAGCCGAGGTTGGAGCCCGGTGAGGCCCGCGCCGGAATGAGGCTCTTTGCCGAGTATGTGGTGGTTCGAAGCTATTGACCAGATGAAAGGATGCCATTTTAGGGGGAAGTGGATGAAAGATGCACCCGCCCACCGAGGTCCAAAGACAACACATGCTTTTAAACCTAAAACATCAAAAAACTCCTCCAGAGGCACCTTACAGCATGGGTGCATTCCCGAAGAGGTTTCCACTTCAAGTGTTTTCTTGTCTCACATGACTCACATGTGCAGACAGAATAAGAAGGAATATGGAGGAATTCAGCACCTATAGGAACCATAGATGCCATAGCATAGTCCATTGGATGTATTGGGCATGTTCTATGTTCTACTTGCGCTCGAGTGTTATTGCACGGAAGCATCTATAAATTCTCCAGGAACTTGCCCACCTTGATGCAATACATGTTTTTGTTTGGGCCTGGCTCCCGGTTGATTGATGTTTTGCATGAGCACATGGGCATTTTGTGGGTTCACCGTGTGCGATCAGGTCAACCATATAGTACACGGTCTTGGGAAGTGGTTTTTGACTCCTTGAGACAGCATTTTGGTGTTTGATCCACACCTATCCACACCCACATGTCCAAAAAGGATGGGAAGGTTGTTCAAGATGCGAGTTTCTTCAGTAGAACCGTTCGCCCCCCTTGTGGCAGCTAACTAGCTTTGAGCCTGCCCTGTCCACGCGCACCGGACGTGTGCGACTTGGAGAATTTAAATGAGGGCTGGGCATGCGAAGGTGGAGTCCTACTTTAGGAATAGCAAGTGCACTTGCAGCAGCTTTTCAAGCCAAAGGTAAGAGGAGTTAAAGCACCACACGCAACCTTTTCATGGCTATAAGTTATAAGGGCCAGATGAGTTTCAACACACACCTTTTGGAGTGTTGAGCTCTTATTTGGATTGAATCAAGTTCTGTAGAAGTTGTCCTTGTTTCTTTCCTCATTGTGTTTGTTCGGCAACCCGGAGAGTTCGGCGACCCGGAGAGTTCCAGTCGGAGCCGCCGCTTTCTATCGGGTAGAGGCATTCAGAATGGCGAAGCGAATGCAGGTGGGCCGTCTGGGCTCCGCCGGGCTCCGCCTTCGCAGGTCGTCATATCGATTTCTCATAAGTTTTTCGGCGTGGCTGACCATTGCACCAGATCTGATCCAGGATACGAATTCGAACAGCAAACACATGCAAAATCCATCGATTGATCTCGGCGCTCATGGCTCCGGCTCCTCGTGGGTTGTAGACAGAAATAGCATGAAGAGAAAGGACAGATCAATCTGGACAGCAGACTGATGAGTCGGATCATCGCGGATGATCCATTCCGAAGACTTCTTGGCATTGGACTTCTGGCGGTTTTTGTTGTTCTGCTAACACTTGGTAAAGCTTCCGGATCTTCAAGATGTAATTAGTGACAAGTATTCCTATATGTCAAGTCAGATCAGGATAAAGGATATAGAGGCACATTGCAGAACTTGCACAGATCTATGGTCTACTCGTGCACCCTGTGGTTCTTTCTAAATGGATTCAGATTCGTCGCTTGAACGACACCCTCCACCATCCAGTACCCTCACCAGGGCTACACCAAATGTGACCTACAAAGGGGGCCTAACAACCACCCGCAGACCTCGCAGACCTGTAGAGATCGGGTGTTGGATAAATGTTTTTTCGTTGTCTTGCTCCCAGAGGCGCTTGGTCTAGACATGCCTCATGTCAGACTTGAAGGTGGAAGGACTCCATCAAGCACAAGTAAGTGGAGGACCTTTCCTTCTAAGTTACTGTAATGGTCACCTGGTCACCTACATTAATCTATCCGTGTTCTGACCAATAGACTGAGTTCTGCATCTAAGCTGACAACTGAGCATGGGTGGATGTTAAAGGTGGATACGTATATTAAAGAAAAACAACACAGTATCCGCACCATTGCCAATGCAGTGCTGCTCATTTGCAGGTCAATGCCAAGAGGTTTTCCAAACCTCAGCAGCACGGAAATCAGTGCCGTTTCCAAAGGTGTTTTTCCCTGAGAAAAGGAGATGGCAACACTTGATCCACGTGACAACAGGTCGAATCAAGTTTGGTCATAGCATGTCATAGCCTTTTGAAAAGGGAAGGTGACCGAGACTGGATTTGTTTCACATCTTCGTTGCGATGTGGGGGAGTTAGCAGGGCTACCAGCCCAGAGGTCAGGACATATCACCTTCATGAAGGCATTCCAAGGGTGCGGCCACGAGCGTTCGTTTCAAGTACTTCTTCTAGTCCACCTGGACCTGATGCAATGATTTTCCCATTTTACGCACGACATGTCAATGCAGAACCTACCGCAGACTCCCGTCGACGGTGCTTGTCATCCAGCAACTCTCGAGGATTGCTTTGTAGTTTTGGTCAGGAATTGCATGACCCTTGATGGGGGTGAGGACAGAAGGAGACTAGCTGCCCTGCTTTGTAAAACATCATGGAATCATCTTCGTTTTTAGTTATAAACCACCTCCATTGTTCTATTTATTGGAAAGTTCTGCACTGGCGAGCTCGAACAAACTGCACTGGCCGCCATTGGCCGCCCCATGACCAACATCGTCCTGTGTCCTGACGTCGCGAAGAAGCTTGTTTCGGCTTCGCACGGATCGTGTCTCCATCTCTTGGGAACCACGGCTTTTCGGTGCATCGGCTCAGCAACATGCTTTTTTTTAGGCCCAGAGCAGAGGAAAAGTCGAGAGCCGTTGAACTTCACATTCATGGTGTTGTTGTGTGTTTTGTTTGTTTTCTTTTTCTTCTTCTTCTTCTTCTTCTTCTTCTGGTGGTGTGTTGTCGCCGCGGTGCGATCGGGCGCGGTCGGGGTATGTCAGGTGGTTTGGGTTGTTTTTTGGTGCACCTCCCCACATCGAAGACAAGGCTCCAGGTGCCCAGACTCCAGGTGCAGGGGGGTTCTTCGCTTCTGGGAAGTCCTGATGTTAGTCCGATCTGATGGGGTGCCACAACCAGATGCCAGATGCCTATAGCCTATAGAGGACTGTGATAGTGTGATTTATATATACCTGCAACTCCGTATAAGTCAAAGTTTTAACTTACATTGAGAAAATGAACTTATAGTACAATATTTCGAGAATTTCAACATTCATCGATTTTATACGATTTTTACCGACGTAGACTAGACTTCTCGAATTGTGGGGTTCTCGAGTGCTTCCCGAATTCTTGAGAACAAATCCATAGATCGTGGCCTTTGCCCGCATCAGGTGGATCGATGCAGGTCGTTCCACAGGTAACGGAGAATCATGGAGCAAGGTTTGAGTTGGGGTCGCCAGCCCCCTAAGATTCATGATCCAGGGTTGGCAGTACATACGTCCAGGTTGTTTTCCCACTCTGCGATCTTTTTCATCCACTGAACCCAATCTCCAAGATCCTCCAAGAGCTTGGATCCAAGCGAGAACGGTTCAACGAAGCAATCCCTTAATTTCAAGAGACATGAACACTTTCAAGACCAATCATGTCTATTTTTCTTTTCGCGCTCTTCCTCTTGGAGCTTTGCTCATGCCGTCTTTGCGGCATCGCGGGCAAGACCAAGCACCACAAGGTTCGCTTGACATGTGATTCTTTGTATGTACGATGTGCGTGACACATTCTATCCTGCAAATGTTTATGCAAGCCTTGCTGGCATGAATGTCAAATCTCTCAATTTTGAAATGCCAACCAACTATAGATCCAACGCTACAGGTTTTTGAGGTATCTTAGGATGCGAGGTTTTGCAGAGCTCACTCACTTGTGGAACGTTGCCGGCCCTCCTGCAAGCTGTCTTGAGCACAAAGCGGACATCTTTCGTGCTTGAAGGGCTTTGAAACATGGCGAGCCGGGTTGAGGTTCCTACACCCACGCCACCTGGATCAGTGCCTATGCGGGCATTGGTTCCAGCCCCACACAGTGTGAGCTCGCCAGCAAGCTCATGCGACAAAGTCTCTAACTACCCGTTGGAGAATTTACACCTGGAGTGGGACAACATTCCAGAAGTGAGGAACCGCCTTCGAAATGGCCAGCACCTATTTTTGCACTTTGATGAGAAGACCGGTGCCCTGACAAACCACCCAGTGGAAAAAACACTCCAAAATGTCAGGCAGAACCGGAAACAACTGGCTCCGGTGAATCGTCGTGTGAGAGATCAAAGCCTCCAACTGCCCAACATAGACAACATCATAGAAGAGATGCGGCTTCTGTACAGGGCTTCCAAGGTGGATTGCACGCATGACACTCTGTACCATGAAAGCTGGGCATGCCGTCGGTTGTTGTCTTTGGGCAAGAACACTCTCCTTCACCGCAAGTACTTGTCGGAGGACGGGTCTGCTAACTATATCCTTTGCGGATCAATGTGTGTTTTCAATGCATGCATGCAGGCATGTACAAGTGCATCCACATCACACAACGTGCTGCGATAGAATGGAACGAGTTTCATTTGTTTCATGTGACACGTGCAGCCTGTTGTCATACTATATACATGGCAGGACGACCACGAGCTTCTTGAAGTTGCGGCTGACTTGGGCATTGAGATCCCCCTCAAAAGGAAAGCCGCACTTCGCTTGGTCAGGAGTATCCTATCATGGATCGTCCCGAGGAGTTCGAGCAAGATGAACTCATGTCTTCCGGGACAACACCTGCCATTACGCCAGTGGCGTCTCCAAGAGCCGGACCATTGCCAGAAGACCCACTCGAAGTGAAGAAACTGATTCGGGCATCTTCAGTCCCTCTGTTTTCTGCGCCAGAGCCAGACTCAGCACGAGAGGCTGACAGTGTTCATGATGAAGCAGGTGCAGCTGATGCTTCTGCGAGCAGTGATGGTCGCCGACAGCTTATCCTAGAGGAGCTCCAAGCTTGCGTTTTCAAACCTTACGCCAACCAGGTTAGAGTCATCAGACCAACACTGATTACGCGGTCCTTTCGTCAGATGACCTTGGATGAGTTCCTTATCTTTGTCTCCTGTGAGGAGCCTCGCAGTGATTCTTTGGGTGAAGGACCCACTGAGCACCCTCTGCCAGAGCAGAAGGCCTGCCATGTTCCACACAGAA